AGTTGTGACCATATTCCACATAAAATTTCACATTCTTCAGTTTTTATCCTACTTTATAATAGAAGTCTTTTCCATAGTTATTAGAACTTTATAAAAATAGTTTAAGTTGCCACAGAATATCTTATCCAGGCAATATAAAAGGGTAATTAACTAGTTGGACATACAGCTTCTAATGTAACTGAATTCTAGAACAGAAATTAAAAGAAAAAAGGTTTAGTATATTTGATATTATTTTCAATATCAAAATAATGCATGTATGTTATAAAAACGTGTACAAAGAAAAAGGATCAAATGCCTAAGAGAACAGAAAATAAAAAGCAAAATTGTTTACCTGGCCTCTTTCAGCACCCACCTCCTAGCCCATCACCTTCTTTTAACCATTTATACCTTTTGTTTTTCTGGAACTTTCCTCTCCAACTGTAAATAAGAATTGTAAACATTCTAAAGCTCTTCCTAGTAATTTTAGTTGGAGCATTCAGTAAGAGCTAAAGTTATGTCCACCTAGCGAAGTATCCTATTAAATAGCCTGGATAAGTATCATACAGCCACTGAAATTCTTTTTAGAAAGACTTTATAATAAATTGAGTATACTTCTATTTTTCTTTTTTAAAATTGAAATATAGTCAGTTACAATGTGTCAGTTTCTGGTGTGCAGCACAATGTTCCAATCATGCAGATACATACATATATTCGTGTTCATATTCTTTTTCATTAAAGTTTATTACAAGATATTGGATATAGTTCCTTGTGCTGTACAGAAGATATTTGTTTTTTAATCTATTTTTATATATGGTGGTTAACATTTGCAAATCTCAGACTCCCAAATTTATCCTTTTCCACCCTCTTTCCCCTCGGTAAGATTGTTTACTAAGTCTGCAAGTCTGTTTCTGTTTTGTAGATGTGTTCGTTAGTGTCTTTTTTTTTTTTTAAGATTCCACATATGAGTGATATCATATGGTATTTTTCTTTCTCTTTCTGGCTTACTTCACTTAGAATGACGATCTCCAGGTCCATCCATGTTGCTGCAAACGGGATAATTTTCTTCTTTTTTTTAATCACTGAATAGTGTTTCATTTTACAGGGCATGCTTCTACTCTTGATTTATCAACTAAAAAGCACATAGCTGGTCTTCAGTCTTACACTGAGGAATTTCACTTCCTTCAAATATCCTGTCCTTTTCACCTTTCCCTCTTCTCACTTTTTAGTATTTATGTTTATTACCTGAGATCTACTTGTTATTCTAATGAAGTCGATTGATGTGCTTGTACATCTGTTTCTCGGGCCATCTGCTCTGGGAGTCCGATTCCTCCCTCCCCTGTGAGGGGAAAGCGTGTCCCCTCTGCCTTTTTCCGTCTTCCTGTCCCCTGTGCCATGCTCAAGTTCTTGAACTTGAACTCCCATTTCTTTACACGCCAGGTTGATACCATTTACAATTTGTCGAGTTTTCAGTGAGATTGCTACTAACCTGACATTGCTTTTGGAGCTGTAGTGACCAGAGCTGTATTAAAATGAAAAATCCTGGAGTAGAAGGACGGCTCAATAAGACACATTTGAGGAGAAGATGGGGCATAAACAACCTGGCTCCGTGGCTGCATCCCATGTGATGTGTTTGCCCAACAGTAGTGCGAGGGAGCAAGCTGGGGGGACGTGGTCATGCTCCCTGTGCTGTCATGTGGAAGTCCCCACTCGCTGGAAGAAACGTCATTTGCACGGGATAAGGAAAACTTTGGCAGTAGCTTCCTTCTCCCTCCTTTCCTCCAGCGCAGAGGGCTCCTTCTCAGGGGCTGTGTACATGGGTTGGGGGGTCCCTCTGAGGTGCCTGCTCCCTGGGGGACAGTAGCCATGGCCCCTGGAATCCAGGCCGCTTCCAGCAGCCTCCTTCACGGGTCAGTGGTCATGTGCACAGGGGAGAGGCTCAGAGCCTTGGGTCCTCAGCATCCTCAGACCAAAAGAATAATGCCTCCCTCTGAGAGCTCACATGAGGGATGTGGGTGGGACGCATCTGGGTCCTGGCAGAAAGGTGGGGCTCCTTGCAATGAGCAGAACCTGACCTTCTGCCAGCCCTGGCTCTTACCAGACCCCGCAGGCATCCAATGTTGTGGTCATGGTTGCAGGTCCTAGGGATACAGCAGTGAACAAAAGAGATGAGAATCCTTGTCCTTAGGGAACTGAGAGTCATTAGAGGGAGGCAGACAACAAGCATGATCAATGCCACCAAGTGTGTGGGGTACGAGGAGGTGGCGAGTGTAATGCAGAAAAATACGCAGAGGAGGGCTGGGATGCAGGATGTGGGCCGGCCAGGATACTGCCCTCCCCGGGGCTCCCACTCGCCTGGTTTCCCGGACCTCCCTCCTCCCTGCACCGGTGCCTCTCCACTATTTCCTCGTGTTCTCAAGCCCTCCACTGATGCTCATGGCGGAGTCCCAGGAGAGTGATGGGCAGATCGTGGCAATGAGAGGAAGGGGAATGTTTGCGGAGTCCTCACCAGGTACTGCTGGGCAGGGATAGAGGGAAGAGGGTGGGCGTAGAGAAGGCTAGCATCAGGTGAAGGGGCCCCTGCCCCGGTGGTCCTTGTGCATCACAGGCAAGAGGCTGACCCTTTCCTCCAGCTGGGTGGTGACCACAGAGGGGCGAGCTGGTACGGGTCACAGTGGAACCAGGGCCGGACTGCCTGCCAGGGGAGCTGCCAGCACATGCAGAGACTGGGTTCCAAGCCTCCCCCGCCTCTAGCTTTGTCATATTCGTCCTCAAATAACCCAGCAAGCCTAGTTGGTGCGACAAGAAGTCCACCTTTCTCGCGTTGCCGCGCCTGGCGCGAGGCCGCTCAGACACTCAGTAGGTGCCAACTTACAGATAACACGGTCTGTGCTGAGAGCCCGCGCTGCGCGCCCCAGTCGGCACACAGGCCGTGGTTGCGACCCGCTCCCTCATTGCTCGTGCGCGGGGGGCCTCTGGGAGGGCGCCAGCCAGGACGGGATGGGGGGGCGGGGGGCGGGGGATGGGGAGGGAGAACAGCCCCGAGGCCGGGCAGCGCGGGGACTGCCTGGGTAGCACAGATGTCACCCACGGGGAAGCACAGGGCCGGGCCCAGGCCCGGGCTGATGGGAATCGGGTTGTTTCCAGGACAGCTGGGGACGTCTTTTCATTATTCTTTCGCTCGAAATAGAATTATCTTTCGAAATCAGTTTTGACAGGCAGCCCGGGCGCTTTGCCTGGGCTGTCTGGGGGAAGGAACTGGCTTCCTCGCCTACACATACTTTTTTTTTTTTTTCCCTTCCAAAGGAAGAAAGAGGTAACATTCTGCCGGTTTAGAAGAAAGTGGGAGAGGAGAGAGAAGTGCCAGGCGGTGAATTCAGAAGAGGGGCAGGGCAGGGGAGGGCAGAGGGGTCTGCGACGAGAACCTGCCCCCGGCAGCAAGTTTGTGGACCCCCGGAGACCCCGGGATGCAGCGTCATTGCGAAAACCAGAAGAAACCTCAGTGTAGAGACCAGAGGAAGAGAACAAAGGGCAGAGAGAGGAAGAGGGTGCTGGGCATTGTGGGCAGGGGGAGGGAGGGGTAGTCAGAGGTCGCAGGACAGGGGCTAAAAGCCAGACAGCAGGAACAGGTCCTGGGTTGCCTCTGCCAGCCTCAGTTTCCCCATCTGAAAGGGTGAGGTGTGTGAATCCTTCCTGCCCTTGCTTGGGTGGTCCCGGGAGCAGAGCTGGGGGAGGCTCTGCACTGTCCCTGTCGCCCTCTGTGACGCTGGACCCTGCATCTGGGACGAGATGCCCCTAGCACTGTCACCACAGCTTCTCCCTCGGGGAGGTGACCGGAGGGGGCCAAGCCCCCCTGCCCCAGCAGAGCCTGGAGCTGGAAAGCACGATGTGGGCAAGTTATTTTTGCCACAAAATCAGCAGGGCCTCCTAGCAGGGCCTTGAAGCTAAGAAATGAGGAAAATACTGCCTTTGTCCCACATTTAAGTGAAACAGCCCCCTAAGTGCTCAGCACAGCGCCCAGTACAGGGTGTGCCTTCCCAGGGGCGAGCTGACACCGCAGTGACCGGGAGCTGCTGGGTGTCCAGGGCTGACAGGCCTCCCACACCCTTTGAGACTGGGGCCTGCGGCAGGGGTGGGGTGGGGGTACCGGGACAGGTGTTGGCTTGTCAGGTGGTGGCCCTCCTCTGCCAGCTGGACCTGGCCTCTGGCCCCTACTGTCCTGCAGTCGCCTGTGCTCAGCACGAGTCAAAGCCAGCTGTGCCTTGTCCTCTGGACACCGCAGCCGGTCACTGAGCCCCACACTGCTCTGGTGTGCCCTCCTGGAGAATGGCACCTCTAGGGGGGGTGAAGGTGACCTGGACAGACAAGGCTTGCTATGCTGGCCAAAGTTTGGGCAGATCAAAGCACCAGGGCCTGAGGGACCAGAGAGGAGGATGTCCAGGTGTGCAGGGCTGAGCTGGACATGAAGGAAGTGGGACAGTAAGGGACAGGGGGCATGAAATACTCCAGACACTGAGCAGCGTGCGCAGAGGCCTGAAGCTGGGGGGGCGGGGCTCCGCGGTGGGAGGGCCCACAAGCCCGAGGGAAGGCGGGGCTCACATCCCAAGAGCAGGGGGCAGGGCAAGCCCCGGGCTCTGAGCAGCGCACCCCATGGGGCGGGCGGGGGAGTATGCCTGGATGGGATGGCGGGTCCTGAGCTGCTCCGCCCTGGCCCAGGCCCCAGCACACACCGCGACTCAGCAGAGTGTGGCTGCCCGTTTCCAGACCCCGTCCACGCGTATCGAGCTGCCCTCCCGGTCTGTGCCACCCCCACCCCCAGCTGTGAGTCCCCGAGTCCCCCTCGCACCTGGTGTGGGGCCTGCGGCACCTCTGAGGTGCGGGGGTGTGGGGGTGGGGAGAATGGGTCAGCGCAGCACTGAAAACCTCAGGGAAACCTTCCCGAAAGGCAAGACGGCTTATTTTTAAGCGAAGAAAATGGAACCCAGTGTTCCCTCTCTTATCGAAATTTCATTGAAATGACGGTAAAGGGGTAAAAAGAGCTAAGCGCCCAAGAACAAAACAAAGCCAGGAAGGACATGATATTGGACCAAAAGAGTTCAGAACACGACAGAGGCGTCCTCGCTAATCCACACAGCCGCCCTCCAAGGTCATGGCTTCAGGGAGGTCCAGCCACTCGGCAAGTAAGGCAGACCCAGCTCCTCACCGCCCACTACGTGCCCGTCCTGACTCAGGCTTGGGGTCTGGCTCTTTGGCCAAGTTCCTTAAGCTCTCTTAGCCTCAGTGTTCTCATCTGTAAACTGGGGCTGGTAACACACCTGCCTCAGGGATAGCAGTGCTGACAGGCAGACTTCCAAAGTGGGTGGGGCGGCGGGACTGGTGCTCCGACCTCAGCCCTCGCGGATCACTGCCCTGTGGGGTTTCTCTTGGATTCTGGGTGAGCATCTCCCTAAGCCCTGGGCGGTGGGCAGCTTAACACTCTGGGTTGTAAGTATCCCTGAACATGCTCGTTCATGAATTCAGAGGTGGTTGGAACGGGCAAAGTCAATTTCCAACAGGCTCAGAGCTGGCTTGTGTTGCCTTCCCAGCTCACGGCTAGCAGGGGGCTGGGGTCTCCATCACGGGCTGGTGGGACTGGCTGGCTTTTCCACTTGCCACCTTGGTTTGACCTGCAGAGGACCAGTGATCAGCTGGTGCCAGGACCCCCTTCCGCCCCCTGCTGGAGAACTGGGATTTAGGACCCCACTGTCTTCCTGGGGGTTGGGCTGTCTTCTGAGCTTGATGGTCCAAGCTTCATATAGGTTGTTCTGGGATCAGGTGGCCGTGATAAGAGAGGCCTTTTGGCTCCTTTGTTGAGAACAAAAGGTCATTGATTGGAATGCCGCTGGGACTGGAGGTCCACTACCAGGCCAATGGATGCAGACACTTCCTGTGTCACCTCATTAAACATCCATCCATTATCTTCACTCCTTAGAGCCTTGTGACACCCAGGAGCATCTTCTTAAGATTCAGGACATCACAGATATGTTTCAGAAAGCCTGGAAAGGGGATCAAACGGGCAGGCCCAGGCTAGGGAGCCCTGAGAAGCAAGGGGAGCAGGGAAGTGGGGAACCCACTGGGCCCCAGATCAGACTTTGTTTGGGCTGAACTCTTAGGGTGCTTTCTCATAGCCTTGCAGCTGGCCACTCTGGTCCTGCCTGTCTTGCTGGGCTCTGGAAGAGGCCAGCGTCCATGAGAGAGACAGAGAAATAGATGGGCAGGTTCTGTGCCCTGTGACAGAGGGTAGATGGGAGATGCAGAGGGGAAGGGTGCCCAGCCTAGTCTCTGGCTGATCTGGGAGAGGCAGGCCAGGGAGGCTTCCCGGAGGAGTTGACGGCTGAAGACGAGGGGGATCATGACCATAGGCTAGCCAGCCCAGAGCAGCAGGCGGCCGTGGTACAGGGCCCAGATGCAGGGAGGATGGATGGGAGCAAAGCAATCAGCATGTGCGCATGAGCGTGTGTGAGCGTGCGTGTGTGTGTGCGCACGCGTGTGCACGCATGGATAGGTGGAATAGAGTTGGGAAGGTGGGAGACGTCACACGAGGGCTGGAGTAGGGTGTTAATGAGTTTGTACTTCATATTGCAGACAGAGGAGGACATCGTAGGGGTTCAAGCTGGGAGTGAATTTGACATAATGAGGAGTGGGCTTGGGGATGGGGGGGTGGCTGGAGGCGTGGAAACCAAGGAGGAGGCTGTGGCAGTGAGCTCAGCCTTGACTGGACCCTGAAGACAAGCTAAAGGAGGAGTCCTCTGCAGCATCCATGGGCCTAGAGGCTATCAGAAGCGTCCCACTGAACCCTCCTGGAAGTCTTCCCCGGCTGGGCCTGGGTGGCTGGGCGGGGCAGCCAGAGGCTCTGGGACTGACGGCTTCGAGCACTCCCATGTTGCAAGCCTGGCAGGCAAAGTGCTTAAATATTTATTACAAACAGAAAGTGCTGTTGGAGAACCAAATTCTCAAAAAGGAAATTGAAAGGGAAGGGAGGGTGGGACCTCTGAATCCCAATTTGTAGCACTGGGCCTCTGCATATTTCATTAACTCCTCAGAGTGCTGAGGGACCAGATGTTCAGGATGCGGGGAGGTCCTGCAATTCACACACCAGTGCACCTCGTGGCAGCAGCTCATTATCCTGGGGCTGTGTGAGGAAGGTCAGAGGCAAAGATGCTTGCAAAAAGGGAGAGTGGATGGAATCGTGATGGATGGGGGAGGGCTTGTGTTGAGCTTCTGAGGGAATAATAGATATGAGAAGCGAGCTGCGAGTTGAAATGAACATCAGGAAAAGGCAATGGGGTGTCTGGAAAGAGCACTGACTGTGGATTCAGCCAGACCTTCAGCTTTTTACTGGCTCTGAGAACTT